TTTTTCGTTATGCAAATAAGTTTTTCGTTATGCAAGAAATAAAATTTTTTTTATAACTATGGATTTAATTATAAAATTTTATTTATTATTTGTATTTTAAATAATAGTTTAACAAACAACTGCTTTGTTTGCTTTCGATACTTTTTCTGCTTGGCACCTAATACATTTTTTTCAAGCTCGCAGCAACGCTGATCACGATGTGTGTTTCTGACGGGATGTTAACTTCATGTTATGCATAGTGGACGTGATGTTAACTCCTCTGCTCTGTTCCGGGTCGCCATGTTATTCATAGTGGTCGTGATGTTAACTTCTCTGCTCTGGTCCGGGTTGTAATATTACGTCCGCCGAAGAAAAATAAATTTGTATGTGATGCGTCTTCTGTATACTGTTTATTCTGTGATATTACTTATACGCACTGTAGGCCACCAAAATGGCGGGGAAAGATGTATGTATGTATGTATGTATATATTAATTAGTTGCATATAAATGATAAATTTTGTGCAATATTTGTTGCGATATTTGCTTTTTATTTAAATACATTGGTAATTTTATTATTTAATACTCAATATTTTTTTATTTGTTGAAGTGCACTTGTTTGTATATATGTATGTTTATGTGTATATGCAAATACCGAAATATACTTTGGCATAATAAGCGACTCATTGTAATCAAATTGCCACTGCCATCGAATCAGAAAAACATAAAAAATAGTCAGCCAAAAATACTAACCAGATAGTAAAAGTGTTGCCAATTTTAATATGCAACTATGTGTAATTTATGGAAACTTATGCACAATTGAATTGACCAAATAGCGTAATTACGTTTTTATTTATTTGCATACATATAAAATGTAAGTACCCGCACATATGCTATGTGGCATGTTTACCGCGTAAGCGTATACAAACTATGAAATTGCTATATTTAAGCGCATATTTTATAATTTTCGCACTCAAATTCAGTGCAATAAAAATAAAAGTACGATAGCAATATGTATGTGTGTGTGTGTGGGAGTGAATATAAAAACATATGCATAGATTAATGCATTTACGCTTGCATTTATTGCATATAACTCCAGTCAGGTACGCCCTTGCGTTTGTACATATGTATATGTAGGTGTGCACACTTGTAAGTATTGTTGTTTGTATATATGTAAATGTAAAGCTCTTTTCGCTTACATATACTCGTACATATATGCATGAATACTTGATAGAATGAATATCTATGTATACTGTACTACCCACTCTTCAACTACACACATACATATAACTAAATGTAGTATTTGCACTTACCAATAATGTTCAACTGAAATGCCATCGACATTTTCGGTTCCGTATTCACTTGACATTCATAGATGCCACTGTCACGAGCTTGCGGCGATTTCACATGCAATATCCATTCGCGGCCATCTTTCGATGAAGTCACCTGGAATGAAAAATATATCTAGAGTGAATGAATGTGTATGTATGTATGTATAGATAACTGCATACACAAGTATGTATGTATGTAAGCCAATAAATATGTATATGCACATAGGATGCATAGTAAGCGCACGAATATTGAGTGCAAAAACTGGGGGAGATAAAGTTAAAGAAACAAGTTTATGCAGGAATATGCATTCATTTATAAACGCAATGTGCATTCCCATGGTGGAACCTATAGTTAACCCTTGGATACTTAAAAACTTTTTTAGCGGTCAAAGCTCGACAACTTTTTGATGAACTTTCTGTATTAATGTTGCTACAGATGCGCAAAAGTTGATTTTGGTTTTTTTTTCACAGCGCTTTCTTGAGCTGGATTGTTGAACTCAGTAACTGGTTAACCACAAAACCCTCAATTTCACCTTGGTACAAATGTATTATGTGTAATTCATATGATAAGAAACTTACTGGTTTTCTAACAAGAAAAACAGACTCGAAGATCCTGATAGGATTGTTAAGAAGGCATTGTTTTGCTAAGAGCACATGCATTTAAATTAGGTCTAATAGCGGACAAGAAACGTAAGAAATGTAACGAACACGAGGAAACCGTGGAGCATATAATTTGCGAGTGTCCAGCCTCCAGCAGGCAAAGACTCGCTCTACTCGGCTAGCTACAGCTGCAGAGCCTACAATCAGCAATGGGCAAAAGCCCAAAGTGTCTATTGAAATTTGCCCCCAGTGCGTGTACCATTCTCTTACTAAAAGGAGGAAAGAGTACGAAAAATACTCCACTTTACTAGTAAAAGAAACAAATAGTCAATTAAATTCCCAAGCCAACCCGTTTTTGATCAGTAATGCGCTGTCTGCCGGCTGGACAATTTTCAACTGAGTGCTCATGTGGTTCTGTTCTCATGCTCATTTTTTCATTATGCATTGAAAGCAACAAAAACTTTGACCAATCTAGCCCGTTGACCATCTGCATAACAGAGCCCTAAGTGATTCGAACCGCTGAACCGAACCACGTCGATTTTTAGAGCAGTTTGCAGCAAAATTAAAGATGCAGGTATGGACCAAACTATAAAAAAGCAAATAGCTTGAAACACGGCAATTTTTAAGCTTATAGTGAAATCAAATTTAGCAGAAAAAAAATTGTGGATCTACCACAAATGTGTCTGAAATCAAATGTTGTCTGAACATGCACATAAGGTTTCGAAATCAATAAATACCCGTCGCTTCCTTTTGATGCAAAATTATGTCATTTCGGAAAAAGTTTGCTAAAAGCCTCTAGGAATCTTATTATAAATCAGATAGCCCGTTGACATGGTAAATGATTTCAGCTCTAATATTTTAATGGAAAGTGTTACGAAACTGTCGTTAAGCGGATTTATGCAAGCCACAGCGTTTGCGTGTGTGTGGTCGACCCGTTTGGAAATGCCACATCCTTGAAAACGCTAAGTCCCTTCGGGTCCTGCCGACCATGCGAAGATTAAAATATACATACATATGTATTCATATAAAATTAAAGGATGACACAGTTTGCGGAGTTTCCACCAGAATTATAAAATATGTTACTTTTTAAGACTTTCACCAGAAAATTTTAGAAAAATACTAAGATTTATGTGAGCTAGACCGATTTGAAACTAGTTACTTGAAAAAATCTTAATATTTAGATTCCCTTGACAAAATTTTTCAACATTTCTATGCAGATCTCTTAAGTTCAAACTCATATATCATCTGTAGATTAAAAAAGAAAACATAGTATATTTTTGAAAAATAATTTTATTTGTAAAAAAATATTTCCAAAATATTTTGACGGAAGTCTTGAAATATAATGGGGAAAAACGCAAATTTTTCAAGGATATTTTTAAAACAGTCCAAGTAAACTAATCATTTTCTTCTTTGGAACGTGAAACATCCTAATGTATCCAGTATCTGTAGAAGCACATACAAATACATACTTATGTACATACATATATGTTGTGTGGGAAACAGTTACGTATTTCACTTATGTGCATTGAGTTGTCCAACACCTGCAGGACGCAACTGCAAACTGTATTAAAATAAAACAAGTAAGAGCAGCGCTGTCTTCGGCTATGCCGAAGGCTTCATACCTTTCATGAACATCTGCAAATTTTACTTTGACAGATTACTGCTTTTGAATACATCTGCATACATCGATAGAGGAGTTACATACTTATATAAAAAATCGCATCTAAACAATCAGAGGTATGGAAGATATACTTTATATGGCACCAATCTAAGTGATTTTCACTGCTATGTGATCGGTATGTAAACCGGTAACTCAATTTATCAGTGCTATAGGAGATAAAGCTTATACAGCATCGATTTTGACGATTTTCTCAGTAGACTTTGTATTATTATTTATAAAATATCTTACGAAATTTATCGGTTTTAGCTGTTCAAATAAAGGAGTTTTACAATAAAATCCCATATCTGAACAATCAGATGTATGGAAGATATATGTTGTAGTCATCCGATCCTTGTTATTTTCACTGTAAGTATTCTGTTAATAATGAGTGAAAATGGTGCGAAATTTCATGTTCCTAGCTGCATAAATGGAGGAGTTATGATAAGAGACCTCATATCTGAACAATCAGTTGTATGGGGGCTGCAGGTTATAGTGACCCGATCTTTGTTATTTTCACTGTAAGTCTTCTGTTGATAATGGGTGCAAGTATTGCAAAATTTCATGTTTGTAGCTGCATAAATGGAGAAGTTATAACCAAAAATCTCATATCTGACCAATCAGTTGTATGGGAGCTATATGTTATAGTGGTCCGATTCTTCCGGTTCCGACAAATGATTAATACATTATAAAAATACACCCACCTACCAAATTTGATCCGGATATCTCGAAAACTGAGAGACTAGATGGCATACAAACAGACGGACAGACAGACAGACGGACAGACGGACATGGCTAAATCAACTCAGCTCGACGTTCTGATCATATTAGTATACATTTTCATGGGTCTATCTCTTTTTGTTCTGGTACTTACAAACATCGGACCAAAGTTATAATACCATTTCATGCTCATGAAAGGTATAAAAAGGAAAAAAATAATAATAACAGCTGATTCCCCACGCAGTGCATCAAAGCTGAATTCTTTCGTATGCGCATTTACAACTAAGTGATTGCTAAGTGACGTACATACATATACAGTATATAGAATAGGAGAACAACTATAAAAGTGTTGACATACTTTCAAATGACATACAGACATATGTATATGTAGTATATAACAATATATCGGTAATATGAAACAGTCTGCAAATTACGGTCTTTACGGAACTACATAAAAATGTACATTCTAGTTAAACATTGCTTAATAAGGTAGTCAAACACAATTTTATTTCCTCAAACATAGCTACATACATACGAGCATAATAATCCTTGCTTAAGTAAGTATGTAAACGAATTTGAATGAGTGGTTATTCCTTGAAAGAGCAGCCTACGCCCACAATGCATTTAAATACACACCAGTATCTTAAGCAAATGGGTCAATCCATGTCAAATGGACTAATGGTTGGGATCGGTCATTTCTTGATTTGGTTGAATTATGGTCAGAACTTTTATTTTAGCATATAGCAAAGATCTGCCGAATGAAAAAATAAAATAAATTTTTTTTTGAAAGTTCTAAATGTGAAAGTCAAAAGTCTAAACTTCACAATTTCTGGGATTTTGAAAGTTTATTTTGAGGTGCTAAAAAACTATTGTAGTTATCAAAAATGGTAATATTTATAAAGAAAAAATATCTAAAAAATACAAAAATAAAAAGTGTACAGAATCTCGAAATTAAAAAAATCGAATAAAAAATAATAAAGATATTTCGAAAGTTCAAGACTTCGAAATTTCCCGGATTTCGTTAGTTTATTTTTTGAATATCTTAAAAAATTCCTTAGAAGTGAATTATTTGGACCTATAGAAAAAAATACGCGGAGATTCCCCGCTAACAAATTTACCCAAAATTTTTTCGTAGTGAATACACATATGCGAAAAGCGAACGATTAGTAGCAAGAATTAAAGTAATGATGAAGCTGTTTAAAAAACAATTGAAAAATAATTTTTTTTTTTAGAATTGTGAATTACAAAAATTTTTAAAATAAAACACCTAATATAATAATTTTTGGTTTTAAGATATGATTTTTAGAATTTTGAAATTTTTTTTGCTAACTCTAAATAAATTTTTTTCAAAGTTTAAAAATTCATATCTTAAAAACACTTTAAAAATTTCCGGTTTTTTTACAATCAATCGAGAGCATTACATAAAGTTGAGTAACAAATTTATGTAAGTTTTTGCTTAAAAGTAAAAAAAAAATTACAGAATTTTGAAATTAAGTGTAAACAAAATAAAAAAAACATTTTTTCGGAAGTTCAAAATTTTACAATTTTCCAGATTTTGGAAGTTTATATTTGAATACCTCAAAAACTATGATAGTTGAAAAAATGGCCCTACTCTCGTTTTAGAGGTCATATTTGGGGCTATAGAAAATATAGATTAAAAAAAAATTCGAAAAATAAAAAAAGTTGTAGAAATTTGAACTTAAAAAATCGTACAAACACCTAATCAAATTTTTCAAAAATTCTGAAATTCTGAAATTTTTAAGGTGTTTTTTAAAATATGATTTTTAGAATTTTGAAAAAATTTTTTGCTAACTCTAAATTAGATGTTTAAAAACATTTTTATTTCATTTAAATTTATTTTTGATTTAGAGTTTCCAACATTTTTTTTAAGTTTAAACTTCATATCTTAAAAAACACCTTAAAAATTTTAGGGTTTTTTAAAATCAGTCGAGGGTATTACATAAAATTTAGCCGCAAATTTATATAAGTTTGTGCTTAAAAATTAAAAGATTATAGAATTTTAAAATTGAAAAACATCGAATAGAAAATAAATTTTTTTCGAAAGTTCAAAATTTCCCAATTTCCCGCATTAGGTTTAAAACATTTTTATGCAATTTAAATTTATTTTTGATTTAGAG